GGTGCCCACCACAATGCCAGGCTATTTATTTTTTGTTGTTGTTGCAGTTGTCATTATTGTTTAGCTACCCCGGGCCAAGTTCAAACCCATCAGCCTGGGTGTATGAGGCTGGCACCATGAGCACTGTGCCATGGGCGCTGAGCCAACATTTATAATTATTATTTATCAATACAAAATAAATAATTGGCCACTTCCTTAGTTTTTGTCCCTGCTTCTAGCTTAGGACTAACCAGAGAAAGCCAAATATGCAATCACTTGGGATGTCCCACCTTCAGCTTCCCCTGGCTAGCACCATTTAATCCCGTGAATCAGGCATTCCTGGAAACTTCCCTTTTTCTGCTATACATACTCCCTCCTCTTTGTTGTCTTTATTTCTATGGTTTTCATCATCTTATCATTACCAGGTGGATTTTTACTTGAAGCATGAACCTGTGTATGCAAAGAAGTGGCAAAGTATTCTAATGGGCGGGAGCAGCCTGAGGAAGTCAGCAGATTCCGGAGCTGTGGATCCAGGGGCACGTTAAGGGAAGTTTAAAGTAGGTTACTTACTGCATTATGGAGTGATAAATGTGGAGAAATATGTTAATGGATTATGGAAGACCTTAATTTTTTTTTTTTTGAGACAGAGTCTCACTTTCTGCTCATAGCAACCTCAACTCTTGGGCTCAAGCTATCCTCTTGCCTCAGCCTCCCAAGTAGCTGGGACTAAAGGCACCCGCCACAATGCCTGGCTACTCTTTTTTGTTTTTTTGTGGTTTTGGCTGGGCCAGGCTTGAACCCACCACTGTTGGTATATGGGGCTGGCGCCATACTCTTTGAGCCACAGGAGCCACCCCTGGCTATTCTTTTTTAGAGACAGGGTCTTGCTCTTGCTCAGACTTGTATGGAACTCAGGAGCTCAAGCAATCCACTCGCCTTGGCTTCCCAGAGTGCTAGGATTACAGGTGTGCGCCACTGCGTCTGGCCAGACCTTACATAATTAGGCCTTAGTTCTGTGAATGATGAGAAAATGACAACCAAATTGTACTGCATCATTTTTGTGTATGAACATGGCAAATTGGATTTCTGCAGAAGGCAAATTGAAAGGGCATTTTCATATCTATTCTTTTTTTTTTTTTTTTTTTTTGAGACAGAGCCTCAAGCTGTCCCCCTGGGTAGAGTGCCGTGGCATTACAGCTCACAGCAACCTCCAACTCCTGGGCTCAAGCGAGTCTCCTGCCTCCGCCTCCCAAGTAGCTGGGACCACAGGCGCCCGCCACAACACCCGGCTATTTTTTTTTTGGTTGCAGCCATCATTGTTGTTTTGGCGGGTCCGGGCTGGGGATTCGAACCCGCCACCTTAGGTGTACGTGGCTGGCGCCTTAGCCGGTTGAGCTATAGGCGCCGAGCCTTCATATCTATTCTTTATCTGCCAAAGGGACTGAAATACCCTATGCCTTTGGGGAGTACTAGAGACCAACTATTTGGTGTCAAGATCAAATAGGGCCTAAACAGATAGGAAAAGAAATTTTTCTAGACAGAAAAATTATATGGGAAAAGTTCAATGTTAATATAAAGAGTCTTACTCTGTTGCCCTGAGTAGAGGGCTGTGGTGTCATAGCTCAGAGCAACCTCAAACTCTTTGGTTTAAGTAATCCTCTTGCCTTGGCCTCCTGAGTAGTTGGGACTGTGGGCATGTGCCACAACCTCCAGCTAATTTTTCTTTTTTCTTTCTTAACTTTATATTCAAATTAAAATGAAGGTACAATACTTAGGTTACATTGTTCTCACTTCCAGGATAAAGTTCCATTTGTAGAAGAGCCCCTCACCCAGGGGATGAGTTATACACCCTCACAATGTGCACATTAAGTGAGATCCCAGCTCATGCCCTCCTTCCTTCTGCCATACGTCCTCCCTCCTCCCCACTCCCACTTCTCTCTATCCCTGAACTAGACTATAATAGTGTTTTATTGTTCTTAGGAACATGTAATTGTTTATGTATTGATTTCATATTAGTATGGAGTACATTGGATATTTATTTTTCCATTCTTGTGATACTTTACTAAGAATGATGTATTCAGCTCCTAAAAGATGTAAAGTCTCCATCTTTCTTAATGGCTGAATAATATATACCACAGTTTGTTGATCCAGTGACAGGTTGATGGACACTTAGGTTGCTTCCACAATGTGGCAATTATGAATTGAGCTGCAATAAACATTCTAATGCAAATATTTTTGTGGTAAAATGATTTTTGTTCTTCTGGGTAGATACCTAATAATGGGATTCCAAGGTCAAATGGAAGCTCTGTGTTTAGATCTTTGAGGATTCTCCATACTTTTCTCCAAAAGGGCTATATTAGTTTGTAATCCCACTAGTTTTTCTATTTTTAGTAGAGACGGGGTCTTGTTCACACTGGTCTGGAACTCCTGAGCTCAAGCAATCTACCTGCTTCAGTTACCCAGACTGTTAGGATTATAGGCATGAGCCACCATGCCCAGCCTATAAAGAATTACTAATATAACATGAGATTAGGGTAACAAGGGATTAAAGAGGACAAGAATAAACCAGGTGCGGAGGCATGTACCTGTAATCCCAGCTATTCCTATGCACATGTGTGCACATAATAAATTTATTATGCTTTTCTCTTGTTAATCTGTCTTTTGTTATAGATCTGTTGACTATAAACTTTTATGATGGGGAGGAAAGAGATCACCTTCTTTCTGACCCTGCTGGGCATAGACAAGCCTCACTGAGTGGTAAAAGATATGCTGGCAGAACTTGCTAAAGATCCACCTTCTAGGGTGCTAGGTAGAGCTACTCACAGGAGGTGTCTTGCAGAAGTCCTTGGGCATAAAACTGCCTTGGGGTTGCTGGAGAAAATTGCTGGCTGCTGGGTGCCACTGGCAGCCATGCACTACCGAAGTTGGGTGCTGAGGAAGCTGCCCAAAGCTGCAGAGAACCTAAAATTGGAAAAGCTGCCCTTAATGTAGGAGGAGGGGACTGGGGAGGCCTCTCATTCAGCAGGTGCCTGCCAAGACAGCCTACTAGAGTCAGTCAGAGAAGCCCTAAAATCACCCTTACAAATTGATGAAAAGTACAAGGCAAAAGCTAGAGTTAAGGCCCCTCAAACTCTAGAAGGAACAGGCCTAACTAAAAGAATAATCAGCCACTGCCCCTTCATTTGCTTGATAATAATCACTGTTATGTCTGATTGCTTCTTCATTCTGAAGTCATGCATGCTTGTTGGTTATAAAGATTCTTAGAACATCACCTGTATGGAACCTAGCAGTAGTTTTTGAGGTATCTTCATGCTCTTGCTTTTCAGTAACTGACCCACCCAAAACAAGGAACTGACTCAACTAGTCTTGGACCCTCACCATCCCCAACTACGGGCCTGCATTCTAGTAACTGATCCACCTAGACAAGCCCTCACCTAAGGACTGACCAGTCCACTCTGAAATCAGCCAATTAGCAGACCCCGACTGCTTAATCTTCAGCCTACCCAATCTGTCTTTAAAAACCCTGTCTTCCCAATTCTCGGAAGACAGATTTGAGAAATTCCACTGGTTTCCCTGCTTAGCGCTATACAGAATAAACTCTTCCTCTGCTGTAAACCCTGCTGTCTCTACATATTGGCTTTCTCTTGGGCAGATGAACCTGGCTGTGGGCAACAGCTGCTTCCTCAGCACCGTCTAACACCCTTCACCCAACATTTAACACTGTGCGCTGGGAAAGGATCCTTTTTTTTTTTTTTGAGATGGAGCCTCAAGCTATCCCCCTGGGTAGAGTGCCATGGCATTACAGCTCACAGCAACCTCCAACTCCTGGGCTCAAGCGAGTCTCCTGCCTCAGCCTCCCAAGTAGCTGGGACCACAGGCTCCCGCCACAACGCCTGGCCATTTTTTGGTTGCAGCCATCATTGTTGTTTGGCGGGCCCGGGCTGGGGATTCGAACCCGCCACCTTAGGTGTATGTGGCTGGCGCCTTAGCCGCTTGAGCCACAGGCGCCGAGCCTGGAAAAGGATCGTTAAAGTACCCAGCTTCATGTTTTCAGAGAAGGAAATGAGAAGCGAATGTGGAGCTGAGAAACAATACATTGACAAACCCCACGGTATCCAAAACTTTTAAAATTTTATAAACTCTGGCAATTATACTAGATAACTTGCACAGTTTTATTCGGATAGGGCCTACTGTTGCAATTTCTTTCTTTTTTTTTTTGTAGAGACAGAGTCTCACTTTTTCGCCCTGGTAGGGTGCAGTGGAGTCGCTCCAGCAACCTCCAACTCCTGGGCTTACGCGATTCTTCAGCCTCAGCCTCCCAAGTAGCTGGGACTACAGGCTACTGTTGCAATTTCTACCTTCCCGATGTGTCTGTCCAAGAAAAGCAGGCATTAGATAAGAGAGGAAATCTTAAAAAAGGCTTTCTCAGTGACTGAGAGGATAAAGGAAGAAACCGGGCAAAAGAAAGGAAACGGGGCCTCCGCATACCCCGCCCATCTTGCACCCCCGCCTTCGCTGTCCCGCCCCATTCCTGCCCGCCGAGTCCTCCCTCCGGCCCCACCTTCTTCCTGCCGGCCCTGCCCCCTCCTCAGGGGCTGGAGCCCGGCATCCCAGAGAACTAGGCAGGTTGGGAGTTTGGCCGCCCTTAACCTGGCGCCAGAATTGAAAAGTGGGAGCCGCTCACACGCGCGTCCCCGCAGCTCTGAGGAGGTGGGGACGTGGGGACGTGGGGACACGGGGCAGGGGCACCCCGGCCCTCCGGAAGATTGCGGGCTGGCTGCGGGCGGGGCAAGGCACGCGCGTTTTGGACGCTCCTGAGGCGGGGCCTGCGGTCTGTGGGCAACGCCTACTCAGGGATCCGGTCCAGCGGCCGCTGTACTCTCCGAAGGGGGAGGGTCTGACTGCGAGGCGGGTTCAGCGCCCTCGGCCCCGGAAGTGCGGCTTCACAGCTACTGTGGGCGGGCCCAGAGTGGGGGCGGGACCGAATCGTTCGAGTCCGGAAGTGGGGGTGCGGGGCGCGGCCGGGGCGGAGACATCGGGGCCCGGAGGGCGGGCGGTGATAGGAACGCGGGGGTGGCGGACTTGGGGCTAGCATGTAGCGGCTGCTGCCGGTGGGGCTCCCGGGGCGGGCCGGGAGGGCCGCGGGGGTTACACGCGGCGACATGGAGGAGGAGGGCAAGAAGGGCAAGAAGGTGAGCTTGCGTGGGCGTTTCCTGCTGCGGGTGTCGGTGGGCGGCTGGGTCTGGGGCCCTGGGCGGCCCAGGATGGGGTGAATCTGGTTGGGGGTCTCTCGGGACGTGGGCGGGGGTGACGGGCGCGGGTAAGGCGGGGCGAGGCGAGACCCTGGACAATGATCAGGTGGGTCTGCGCGGCCGGACGCGCAGGAAGCGCCGCGCCTTTCCTCGGGCACTGGCCGCGGCTCGCCTCGACTTCTGCCCCAGATGGCCTTCCCCGCTCGTCGGGACCCGGGGCTACAGAGGAAGTGGGCCCAGCGAGGGGCCAGAAAGGTGTCCAGGGCTGGAACTGAAGCCAGTGGGCTGTGCGCTAAACGTGGAGACGTTTGCTGCTCACTTGCCTTCGTTCTTGGATATCAAGTAAAAGGAAAGATGGGCTTCGCTTCACTCGTCGAGTATCACTTGTACCTAAAATCATTGAGTGATTTCAGTGACGTTACACTTGGCAGTAGGATTTAGGACATTGTTCAAGAGGCTCTTTCGTTTATGTAGTTTTAAAAATGTGGCTTTAATTACAGGCTAGAGTAGTTGGTAAAGAACATTTTAAGTAAAAACGATGTGGGATAAGGTACCATTAAAGTGAAAAATGAGTTTTAATAAAATGTATCGTTTTCAAATAAATGCTTTATAATGTTCATGTCTTGGCTATCATTTTCTTTTTGATAAGTGTTTATGTGCGGATTTGCGTGCACAAGTTTAAGACCTTGATAAGTCCAAGCTATGATGTTACTGCCAGGCACTCTGAGGAGCAATGTCCTTTAATTGAGGACTACTCATAACCTTCGATTACAAGGTGCACCATTTTTAAAAAGTCCTATTTGAAATCAAATGTAGCCAGGTGGCCTTCAGAGAGTTATGTGGTTCTATCTCTCTACTTTCTCAACTCATTATGTTAGGAACATGGATGTCTAATTTAGATGCAGTATTTGCAGTTACCTACAAAAAGGCTTTAAAGTTAGAAAACAACTCAAGAAAGTTATTTTGCCTGTAATTGTTAGACTAGAGGGGGTTGCTGCACAGGGAAGGGGAGAGCCAAGCTGTCTAAAAGGAGTTAGCTGGAAAGGAGAGGCGCTAATCCAGTGACTGCTTAACAGGGACCATCAGGCCTAAGCATAGCTGATGGTGAGTTTTGCTGGCATTGAGCCACCTACTCTGGTGGAATGCTGGAAACCAAGAGCTCTGGGGACTGGTGACCTCCTCTATGGCCCACTTACATGGGCACCTGGTCCACTGCCTAAGTGTAACAGGCAAGGATGGAATTGACTGAATTTCTTATATCAACTTTGGTAGAAACATAAAAATTCAGCAATATTGAGAGAACCAAAGAAGAAGTAAAATATTCCTGAGCTTTTGGAAATAGAAGGGAAAAACCGGGGGCAATGAAAAAATTTAGGCATAGACAAGGTCTGATTAATTTTATTATCTCTATTAGAGGAGATAATCAACTGTAGTTGCCTAAGCTGGGAGTTTTGTGCTTTTTCTGTATTCTGCCTCTTGCCTACCTTATTTCCTATAGGCAGGCCAGAGTAAGCCTTGGGGCATGGATTCCTATCCAGGTCATGACTTTACCTCCTGTACTCTGCAATCACAAGCTGGCAGAACTTTTCTTACTCTGATCCCCCATTTAGTGTGAGGTCTCCTATTTAAGAACTTTGGGGCTTGGCGCCTGTGGCCCAAGTGGCTAAGGCGCCAGCCACATACACCTAAGGGGGGCGGGTTCGAATCCAGCCCTGGCCCACCAAACAACAATGACGGCTGCAACCAAAAAATAGCCAGATGTTGTGGTGGGCTTCTGTGGTCCCAGCTACTTGGGAGGCTGAGGCAGGAGACTCACTTGAGTGCAGGAGTTGGAGGTTGCTATGAGCTGTGATGCCACAGCACTCTACCCAGGTTGACAGATTGAGGCTCTGTCTCAAAAAAAAAAGAACTTCGGAACTTAAATTATTCTCATGATAAATTAACCAGAGATAACCTGGTTTTAAACTTATTCACAAATTCAAGGTTACACAGCAGAAGTAATGACTTACGAAAGTACGACTTAAGAAGTAAGGACTTGGCTCGGCGCCTATAGCTCAACCGGCTAAGGCTCCAGCCACGTACACCGAAGGTGGCGGGTTCGAATCCCCAGCCTGGACCCGCCAAACAACAATGACGGCTGCAACCAAAAAAAAATA